ACAAACTCCACCATTTCTGGCCTCCCAAGAGCCGATTTTCCCGAAAAAGCTGCTCCTCTTCCCAGTTTTTCCTCCCCCCCAGCCCCGGGATTGTTTTCCAGGCGCGACTCAGACAAAGGGGCCCCCAAATCCCCCCCGGAGCGGCCCCTCCACCCCCAATCCAGGTGGGATTCGCCCCCTCCTGCTCCCGGGCCGAGTTTCCCGGGAGGATCAAGCCGGGCTTGTCCCTAATCCCGGTTTATGAGCTGCTGCTGTTTAAACAGGGCCTAATTAATCCCGATTTTATTGCTTTTCCCGCGCCGAGCGGCCGAGGGGGAGCCGGGAGCTGCTCAGATCCCAAAATTACCTCGGCAGCACCATCTGCTCCAGCCCAGCGCGGGATTGTTCCTCCCTCCGGACACAAACATCCCGAAAAAACCCGGGATCGTCGTGGAGAGGTCCCAAAAATCCTCTCACAGCCCAGGAGAGGTCCCTAAAGCCCCCAAATCCAGCTGGGAATGTGTGTTTCCTCCTGGAGAAGCTCCCAAACGGACCATTCCCTCTTCCCGTGGCTTCCCAATCTTTTTCCCTCTCTCCAACCGTTCCCAGCGATTCCCTGGAAGGAGGTTGGCCCCAGGTGGGGGTTTGGAATCTTCTCCCAAGGGACAGGACGGGAGGAAACGGCCCGGGCAGGTTTGGGTGGGATATTGGGAAAAATCTCTTTGTGGAAAGGGTTGGAACATTCACGGGAACGGGGGAGTCGAGATCCTTGGAAGCGCCCAAGAAACCCTTGGAAGCGGCACTGGAGGACACGGATCAGTCGGCGCTGGGTCGATGGTTCAGTGGGACCATCTCCGACCTCATTCCCAACCTCGACACCTCCACAACTCTCTCCGGCCCTGATTTCCCTTCCTGCGCATCCCAGATCCCACCTGGGTGTCCCAAATCCCACCCGGGCGTCCCAAATCCCACCCGGGCGTCCCAGATCCCACCCAGGTGTCCCAAATCCCACCCGGCTGTCCCAAATCCCACCCGGCTGTCCCAAATCCCACCCAGGTGTCCCAGATCCCACCCGGGTGTCCCAAATCCCACCCGGGCATCCCAAATCCCACCTGGGTGTCCCAAATCCCACCCGGGTGTCCCAAATCCCACCTGGATGTCCCAAATCCCACCCGGCTGTCCCAAATCCCATCCAGGTGTCCCAGATCCCACCCGGGTGTCCCAAATCCCACCTGGGCGTCCCAAATCCCACCCAGGTGTCCCAAATCCCACCTGGGCGTCCCAGATCCCACCCGGGCGTCCCAAATCCCACCCGGGCGTCCCAGATCCCACCCGGGCGTCCCAGATGCCGCGTTTTCCCCCTCAGGCTGTTCCAGACCAAGTGCAGCAGCTGCCTGAAGGCCATCGGGCCCTCGGAGCTCATCATGCGGGTGCTGGAGAACGTCTACCACGTGCAGTGCTTCTCGTGCTGCGAGTGCGAGCGGCAGCTGCAGCGCGGGGACGAGTTCGTGCTCAAGGAGGGGCAGCTGCTCTGCCGCTCCGACTACGAGAAGGAGAAGGAGATGCTCAGCGCCATCAGCCCCGCGCCCACCGAGTCCGGTGAGGGGCCGGGACGGAGCCGGGATGGGGGACCAGGGGATGGAGAGGATGAGGCGGCGTGGGATGGGTTGAGTTGGGTTGGTTGGGTTGGGAGGGACCCTGGAGCTCCTCCCATCCCACCTCATTCCAAGGGCAGGGACCCCTCCCATGGCCCGGGTGGCTCCGAGCCCCGTCCCAGCCGTCCCTGAGCACTCCCAGGGATGGATCCCTGTCCCGATTCCCGACTCCGAGCCCCGTCCCAGCCGCCCCTGAGCACTCCCAGGGATGGATCCCTGTCCCGATTCCCGACTCCGAGCCCCGTCCCAGCCGTCCCTGAGCACTCCCAGGGATGGATCCCTGTCCCGATTCCCGACTCCGAGCCCCGTCCCAGCCGTCCCTGAGCACTCCCAGGGATGGATCCCCGTCCCAGCTGTCCCTGAGCACTCCCAGGGATGGATCCCTGTCCCGATTCCCTGATCCCGCCCTTCCCCGGCAGTGAAAAGCGAGGACGAGGACGGCGCCCACTCCCACGGCAAAGGCGGCGACGACGGCAAGGACCACAAGCGCTCCAAGCGGCCGCGCACCATCCTGACCACCCAGCAGCGCCGCGCCTTCAAGGCCTCCTTCGAGGTGTCCTCCAAGCCCTGCAGAAAGGTACCGGCACCCCAATCCCGCCGGGATCCTTCCCGCCGGGATCCGAGTCCCACCCAGCTCGTTTTGGAGCCCAGCTGTTGGTTTGGATCGTTCCCGGTGGGATTTAATCCCAGCTGAGCTCTTCTTGGAGCCCAACCACCACCGGGATCCTTCCCAGAGGGACTGAATCCCGATTTATCCCTTTTCCATGGCCAGGTGAGGGAGACGCTGGCGGCGGAGACGGGATTGACCGTGCGGGTGGTCCAGGTGTGGTTCCAGAACCAACGGGCCAAGGTGAGGGAACGGATCCCGTTCCAGGGGTGGGATTTAACCCCCCCCTGGAGCTCCGAGGGCTCGAATTCCCGGCGTGTCCGTGTGTTTTCCCAGATGAAGAAAATCGCCCGGAGGCAGCAGCAGCAGCAGCAGCAGCAGGAGCAGGAGCAGCTCGGGAATGCCCGGCTGGGAAGCGGGAGAGGGACTGGGAGGAGCAGCCGGCAGAGCAACGACGACAGTGAAGGTGAGGGAAGACTGGGAATGGGCGGAGAGCCGGGATGCAGGGAGCGGCTCGGATGCGTTTTGTGGAATTGTGGAGCATTTTGGGTGGGAAGGGACCTTAAATCATCCCATTATCCCACCGAATTCCAAAGGCAGGGACACCTTCCAGGGCTCAGGCGGCTCCAGCCTGGCCTTGGACACTTCCCAGGATGGGGCAGCCACAGCTCCTCTGGGAATTCCATCCCGTTCCCTCCCCGCCCTCCCAGCCAAGGATTCCTTCCCCAATTCCACCTCAATCCCCCTTTTCCAGGGGGAAGCCATTCCCTGTGACCCGTCCCTCCAGCCCTTCTCCCAAGTCCCTCTCCTGCTCTCCTGGAGCCCCTTTAGGCTCTGGAATGCACTGTCATGACATCGCTATCGTGACATTACTATCGTGACATCACTATCATGACATCACTATCATGACATCACTCTGGTGACATCACTATCATGACATCGCTATTGTGACATCACTATCGTGACATCACTCTGGCGACATCACTATGGTGACATCACTATCACGACATCACTCTGGTGACATCACTATGGTGACATCACTATCACGACGTCACTATCACGACATCACTATTATGACATCACTCTGGTGACATCACTATCATGACATCACTATCATAACATCACTATCGTGACATCACTCTGGTGACATCACTATCACGACATCACTATCACGACGTCACTCTGGTGACATCACTCTGGTGACATCACTATCACGACATCACTATCATGACATCACTATCACGACGTCACTATCACGACGTCACTATCGCGACATCCCCCTGGTGACCTCCCCATGGCGACGCTGCCCCGTTGGGTGCCCGCAGACGCCGCGAGCGTGCCCGGCCTCGAGGGGCTCCTGGCGCCGTATTCCCGCCTCCCGCCGCAGCCGCTCCTGCCCCTGGAGCACAACGGGCTGAGCCCGGAGCTCTTCCGGCCGGGAATGACCCCCCCCCAGCTCCCCCCGGAACACCTGCACCCCTACGGTAACGCCGGGAGCACCGGGACACGCCGGGACACACCGGGATACAGCGGGGTGCACAAGGATACACAGGGATACACAGGGACACACAGGGACACACCGGGATACAGCGGGGTGCACAGGGATACACAGGGATACACAGGGATACACAGGGATACACAGGGATACACAGGGATGCAGCGGGGTGCACAGGGATACAGTGGGGTGCACAAGGATACACAGGGACACACAGGGACACACAGGGACACACCGGGACACACCGGGATACAGCAGGGTGCACAGGGACACACAGGGACACACAGGGATACACAGGGATACACAGGGATACACAGGGACACACAGGGATACAGGATCCAGGATCCACTGGGATATGAGATCCAGTGGGATACGGAGCTGGGGAGGAGCCCTGGGCAGGGGGAGAAGAGGGATAGGGATGGGATGGGATGGGATGGGATGGGATGGGACGGGACGGGACGGGACGGGATGGGATGGGATGGGATGGGATGGGATGGGAAGGGATGGGGGAGAAGGTTTGGGAAGGGAATTCCTGATCCACTGGGAATATTCGGGAATGGGAGGGCGGGAAGAGCCTCTGATTTAATTTCCTTTTCCCGTCCTTCCCTTCTCCCGCTTTTCCCAGACTCGGAGGGAGTTTTCCATGACCTGGACAGCGACAGCCTGGGCCCCCTGGGCGACTGCCTCCTGTCCGGGGCCGATCCCAGCCTGCTCCAGGCCCGGCTCGGGAATCCCATCGACCGCCTGTATTCCATGCAGAGCTCCTACTTCACCTCCTGACCCTGGAAAAACCCTTCCCAGGAACGTCGGGAATGCTGCTCCCGCCTCCCAGCCGGGCGAGGGGACGGGGCGGGACTGAGACCCTCGGGATTGTTCTCCCCGGAGGAGCCGACGGAGGGATCCGACCTCTCCCGGCCTTTTCCGTCGGGATGGGCGTTCCCGGCTGGAATCTGGGGGGAATTTCCCCGTTGGTTTCTATCCCGAGTGGGAATTTTCCGGCGTTTTCTCTCGGGTGAGGGAATTTCTGGCCGGAATCTGTCGGGACTGGGAATTCCAGGCTGGACTCCTGAGTGAACCTTCCAGCATTTTCCATTGGGACCAGGAATTTCCAGCCAGAATCCATCACTATTTGGGATTTCCCCTCATTTTCTATCAGGACCGGGAATTTCAGGCCAGAATCCATCAATATTTGGCTTTTTCCAGCATTTTCCATCAGGAGCTGCAATCCCTGCCCGAAATCCAGACTGAACCTTCCAACATTTTCCATCAGGACCAGGAATTTCGGGCCAGGATCCGTCAGCATGGGGAATTTGGGGGCGGAATCCGCCGATATTTGGGATTTTGAGGCCGAATCGCTCGGGATTCACCCCCCAGTGCCCATCCCAAGCCGTCTCCCAGTATTCCCAGCACAACTCCAAGCCCTAATCCAGCTGGAAAGGCTCTGGATCTCCTCCCTCCCGGGTTCTGTCCACGATTCCATCACTGGGATGGTGGTTTTAGCCCAGTTTTTTTCGGGAATGACCCAGGATCTCCCCAGAACGTCGTCAAGGATGGTTGGAATTCCTGGAAAAGTTTTCCCAGGAGCTGTTCCAGCCAAAGGAATAAAAACCTCCCCCAGCTCTCCGAGCGTTCCAAGGAGGAAATATTCCCGGAAAGGAATTCCCAAGACTGTTCCAAGAAAGGGAATGACGACTTACTTTGGGATCTGCGGAGTCGGGAATCGGGCGGGACAATCCCGAGGATTTGGCCGACGGATTCCTGGATGTGCTTTTGTCCCTGAGCCGCCACACGCTGATTTTTCCAGGTGGGAACCTCCTGGAGGAACCGAAAACCAGGGAAAAGGCGGATTTTTTGTCGGAGGGAAATTCCCTGGAACTAAAAATTCCTCATGCTGGCGGTGCCGGGATTATCCCGGACTTCTGGGATCCGCCTCTTCCCATCCACGGACAACACTCCCAGACAGCTGGACACTGGTTTCTTGGGAGGGAAGGGGGGAGACTTTTCCCAAAAAACCCGGATATTTATGGCACATTTTTGCCCGGAAAGGCGAGTTTGGGATGGAATCGGGAGAGTTCCCACCATCCCAAATCCCAGAATTCGCCTCCTCCATCCGTGTGTTCCCTTTGGAGGCTCCTGCCCTCGGGACGGTCTCGGCTCTGATGGAATTTCGGGAGAATCCGCAGTGAAATTGTGGAAATTTGATGTTTCCCCCCCCCAGATCCCCCTCCCCGAATCCCTCCGGATGCTCCCCGTGATCCCGTGCCAGTGTTTTGGGAATTCTCTTTTGCATGTACGTTGGAAAATAAACCCCCCCACCCCCCAAAAAAAGGCCAAGTTTAACTGGGAACGTGGGATTTTCCTGCCTTGGGAATTCCAGGGTGGGGTTCCTTTCCCGGGGGGTTCAGGAAGCAGCTTCCCGAATTCCCGGATTTGGCTTCGTTTCCCTGTTTCCTGAGCTCTCTGAAAACAGCTTGGGAAAGGCACTGGGAATATCCCACGCTCCTCTGGGATTTTATGGATAAATAGATTTAGATTTTAGGGATGAACAGATTCAGATTTCAGGGATAAATACATTTGGATTTGGGGGATAATAAATAATTTCGAGTTTAGGGATAAATGATTTTGATTTTAGGGACAAACACATTCAGATTTTAGGGACAAACACATTCAGATTTTAGGGATAAACACACTTCCAGCCCTTCCAGGTGCTCCCCCTTGGCTGGGAAGGCTTCCCAAGGGATCCTGGGAACGCTCCCCCCTCTGGAATGCCCAGGTGTGTCTCCCTCTCTCCCCCGGACCGGGAGGATAAAAAGTGACCCCAAAACCCTCTGGAAGTGGCAGCAAAACACCCTCCGAGAAACCCCCTGGCTGGGATCCAAGGAAAACAAAGGCTGGAATGTGGCTCCGTCCACCTCTCCCTGATTTACGGCCGCCCGGAGCCGGGGGAAGCCGAGCGGAAAACCAGGATATTTTTCCGGCTGAGGAATTAAAGCGGATTCCGGGCGGGTCCCTCGTCCCGGGATCGAGGGTCATCCCCCCCCTTTGGGGCCTGGAAAAGCTCCTCCGGGAAGGAAGAGCGGCACCGACACCGGGAAAAGGCGGATTTTGTGTCCTGGGAGCTCCGGGAAGAGAAGGGAAAACAAGGAGGGAATGAATTGATCCCGGGATTTGGGGGTTTTTGGGAGCTCGGGAGCCCTTGGACATGTTAATTCATTTCCCCGGGGATGTTGGGATGAGCTGGGAAGTTAAATCTGGGAAAAAAACGGCTTTTAGGTTGTTTAACTCCCAGGAAAAACAGGGATTTGGCTGGAAAATGGAGTTGGGAGGAATGAAAAGTGGGGAAAATCGTGGAATTAGGGGTGGGAATCGTGGCAGGAGACAAGGAATTGAAGGATTAAAGTGACATAAAAGGATTCGCAGGAACAAAGGATATTTAATTTTTAGGGATCAATATATTGAATTTTTAGGGATAGATGACTTTGATTTTATGGAGAAACAGATTCAGGTTCTAGGGATGGATGTATTTTAATTTTAGGGATAAATAGTTTAGATTTCAGGGATAAACACATTTAATTTTTACGGATAGATTCATTCAGATTTTAGGGATAAGTATTTTTAGATTTTAGGGATGAACAGATTTCCAGTGAGGCCCAAAAATCAGCTGGATTTGGGCCTGGCTGGAACCTGGATACGGATCAATGTATCCCAGGAATGGGGCGGATCCCTTGGGATCGGGATCAAAGCCAAGGGGTTTTTTTTAATGCCCCCCCAAGCAGGGCTGGAAAGTCGGGAAAAGCCTCTCCCTGAGAATTCCCAAGGGAATTCCCGCTCCCTGCACATCCCTGGCCAAGTTTAATTCCCCCAAAAAGATCTCCTGGGAAGCCCCAATCGAGTCCCAAAAACTCATTCCTCCTCCCCCCCAAACTCGCTCAAATTCCCAGGATTACCCTTTCTCTGGGAGACCTCCACTCCTGCTTTTCCAGGGATTTCTGACCTCGCTGGCAGCATCCTGGAGTTTTCCCACACGGATCCCACAATCCCAGGGCTTTATCCCACTTTTCCTCGAGTTTTAACGGATATTTTCAGGAATATTTGGATTTTTTTTTCCCCCACTGTTTACAGCCAGAAATTCCTGGAAAGACCTCGAGGCTCCCAAATCCCTGTTTTTCCCGGTGGGAATGGCTCCCTCTGCCGTCCCAAAGCAGGAGAGAACCCGGGAATCCCATCCCTCAAAAACTGGGAGTTTTCAGATGGATCAATTTGACTTTTATGGCCCCAAAATATCCCTGAGCTTCCAAGGGCAGTGGGAAGAGCCACTCCAGAGTTTTGGATCTTGGGAAGTGGGTGGGTTTTCTTGGGAAAAAAGGGAAATAACTGTGTTTGATTCCCAAACGGATTTTTGGAAGGATTTGGGTGGAAGAAAAACAGGGAAAAAGCAGATTTTTTTGGGTCACCTTCCAGCCCATCCTGAGGTTCCTGCGGAGCTTTGGAACCTGGAATTTATTTATTTATCCATTTTTTTGGATAAAACCTGGAATTCCCCGCAGGAATGTTCCTGCACTCCAGGGAAGCAGATCCGTGGGCAGAGCTGCACTTCCTTTTCCAGAGGGGGGAAAATCCGGGATTGGAAGGAGATTCCAGAGGACACCAAGGCTTTTCCATCCATTCCCAGAGGCGTACCTGAATTCCAAGGATTCTCTGGGGAAAAACAGCACAAAAAAAAAGCAGGAATAGGATGAGTTTAAGGTCCCTTCTGACCCTAAAAATTTGTGCGGGATTTCACGGATCTGGGAGGATTTTGGGAGGTTCCAATCCCACTTTTATCCCAAACATCCTTCCCCAACGTCCTCCCTCCCCTGTTCCCTGAGGCAGGAGGGGATTTGTGTGGGATTTGTGTGTCCGGGTGTCCTCTGGGGGGTTCCAGCTGCAGGAAGGAGCCTCTCGATCCAGGGGGAACATTCCCGGGAGTGCCGGGGCTCCCCTCAGGACTCCCCTCAGGGCTCCCCTCAGGGCTCCCCTCAGATCTCCCCTCAGGACTCCCCTCAGATCTCCCCTCAGATCTCCCCTCAGAACTCCCCTCAGATCCTCAGATCCCCTCAGGGCTCCCTTCCGGACTCCCTCAGGAATCCCCTCAGGGCTCCCTCAGATCCCCTCAGATCTCCTAGGCTCCCTAGGACTCCCTCCAGGGCTCCCCTCAGATCTCCCTCCGATCTCCCCTCAGATCTCCCCTCAGATCTCCCCTCAGGGCTCCCCTCAGATTTCCCCTCTCAGGGTACTCCATACCGACTCCCCTCAGATCTCCCCTCCGATCTCCCTCAGGGCTCCCCTCGGGCTCCCCTCAGATCTCCCTCAGGGCTCCCTCAGATCTCCCCTCAGGGCTCCCCTCAGGACTCCCCTCAGGGCTCCCCTCAGGGCTCCCCTCAGATCTCCCCTCAGGACTCCCCTCAGATCTCCCCTCAGGACTCCCCTCAGGGCTCCCCTCAGGACTCCCCTCAGGGCTCCCCTCAGGACTCCCCTCAGGGCTCCCCTCAGATCTCCCCTGAAGCCTCACCTCAGGGCTTCCCTCAGGATTTACCTCAGGCCTCCCCTCAGGCCTCCCCTCAGGGTTTACCTCAGATCTCCCCTCAGGACTCCCCTCAGGGTTCCCCTCAGATCTCCCCTCAGGACTCATCTCAGGACTCCCTCAGGGCTCCCCTCAGATCTCCCTTCAGGTTCCACCTCAGGACTCATCTCAGGACTCCCCTCAGGGCTCCCCTCACCTCAGAGTCACCTCAGATCTCCCCTCAGGTCCCACCTCAGGGCTCACTCAGGACTCCCCTCAGGACTCACCTCAGGGCTCCCCGGGCTTCACTTGGTCGGCGCAGAGCAGGAAGGCGTTGGCGTGGGGGTGGCAGCTCCCGGCGCTCCCGGGGTGATCCCGCAGGCAGCGCTCGAAGGCCGCGAAGGGCTCGGCACAGTCCCGGCGGATCTGCCGCACGATGGGGCTGGGGGGGCATGGGGATGGGTCAGGGGGGCACCGGGATGGCACCGGGGGGACAGGGATGGCACTGGAGGGACAGTCCCAGTGCCTCCCAGTCCCTCCCAGTCCGGCACTGACTGTGCCGAGGCGCGCTGGGCAATCCCAAGCCCCATCCAAGTGACAATCCCAGTCCTCCCGGTGCCCATCCAGTGACAATCCCAGTCCCTCCCAGTCCCGCACTGACTGTGCCGAGGCGCACTGGGCGATCCCGAGCCGCAGCCGGTGACAATCCCTCTGCCAGGATTCGGGACTCGCGGCCACGCAGCGCCCGTAGCGCTCCAGCTCCGCCCCGCAGTGACGGGCCGTCAGCTCCAGGGCCAGTTCCCTGCGGGAATACCGGGAATGGGAAGGTCAGTAATGGGGAGAACACCGGGAGTCCCGATGGTCCCGTTAACACCGAGGGGGGACACGAGGATTCCGTTAACACCGGGGGGGGGGGTCCCGGGAGGGTCCTGTTAACACCGGGGGGCACACGGGGTGTCCTGGTGGTCCCGTTAACACCGGGGGAACACACGGGGATTCCGTTAACACCGGGGGGGGACACGGGAGGGTCCTGTTAACACAGGACACGGGGGGTCCGGGTGGTCCCGTTAACACCGAGGTGGGCCGTTAAGCCGGGGGGGGACACGCGGAAGGGACCCTTCCCGCCCCGGCCCCGCCGCCCCTTCACTCACATGACGACACCGCCTCCGCCCGCACTTCTCCAGCGCGCATGCGCCGCCGCCGCGCTTCCGCCAGCACCGCTCCCCGCGCAGGCGCGGGCGGAAGCCCGGGGGCGGGGGCTCGGAAGCGGAAGAGACGAGCCGAGGGCGGAGGGAAAATGGCGGCGGCCGCGGCGGCCCCTCAGGACGAGCTGGTCTCGTCGGTGACGCTCTACCGGCGGCGGCCGCGCCTCCTCCGCGCCACCGTCCTGCCCTTCGCCGCCGGGCTCTACCCGGCGTGGCTGTGGCTGTGGGGGCCGCGGCTGTGGGGGGCGCAGGGGGAGCAGGAGGAGGAGGAGCGGGGGGGGCCCCCCGAGGCGGCGCTGCTGGCGCTCGGCGCCATCGCGGCGCTGCAGCTGCTCACGGCGCTGGCGGGGCTCTGGTCCGTGCACGCGCAGTGCGCGCTCACCTGCGTCAGGGTCAGTGAGGGGCAAAGGGGGGACTGGGGGGCTGAGGGCAAAAGGGGGGATTTGGGGTGCGAGGGGCCTGAGGGGGCGAATTTGGGGGGGTTGGGGGAGTTTGGGGTCTGAGGGGGATTTTGGGGGGAATTTGGAACTGGGGGCATTTGGGGTTTGAGGGGGATTTGGGGGAAGATTTGGGACTGAGGATATGTGGGGTTTGAGAGGGATTTTGGGGGGGATTTGGAGTCTGAGGGGAGTTTTGGGGGGGGATTTGGGACTGAGGATATGTGAGGTTTGAGAGGGATTTTGGGGGGGTTTGGGATCCGAGAGGCAAAGGCATTAAATCCCTTTAAGGTGCCCCTTTCCCTGTTTGTGTCCCTGAACCCCTTCCCTCGGTGCCCAGGCGGGAATTTCGGGATTGGGAACGTTGTCTTTGGGATGTGTGTGATCCCAACCAGCGCTCCCGGACAAACCTCGGGATGGGAATTCCCTTTTATTTTACCCCCCCTCCAGGAGCCGTGTCCCAAAAAAGCCACCTTGGCCAAAGTGGTGCCGACCCCCAACAACGGCTCCGTGGAGCTGGTGCCGCTGCACCGGGATCAGGTGAGAGGATCCGCAGGGATCGGGAATTCCGGCAGGTTCCGGGAGCTGCCGCCGGCTCGGGATTCCTTTTAGTCCCGTGAATTAGCAAAAATTACAGTTTTAATCACGTTAATTAGCAAAAAATCAGCTGGGATGGGTCCGACTGGAGGGGGGTGTTTCCACCAGCAGGGACAGGTTGGGATTTGGGGAATGAATTTGGGAATTCTGCCCTCTCGGAGGTGAATTATCCCGGGGGTGGAGGTTTATGTTGGATGATTTTGTACCTGGATAATGTTCAGTTATTTTATCCTTTCCCCCCTTTCCCAGGGCGAGGACGGGGAGGAGGCTCTTTCCTTCGAGTTCCAGAAGATCAAGTATTCCTACGAAACCAACGGGAAGAGACAATTCCTGCCCGTGGCCTTCCCGGTGGAATATCCCCTGAGCTACTACCAGAATTCCAGAGGCTACCAGGAGGACAAGGAAATCCGGGCAGCAGAGAAGAAATATGGCACCAATAAGTGAGTTTTCCGGGGGGGTTTTTTGGGGGGAGCCAAAATATCCCCGTTTGGCAGGAAAAACTGGGATCAAACCGGAGTTTTAGTCCAGGAGCTGGAATTTTAGTCATTCCCAGGGTTTGTTTCAGATTCCTTTTAGGACAGAGAACGGCTGGATTTGAGGAATAAGGTTGGGAAGAGAAACAAATAAGGATTGGGGGGAGGAAGGAATAATGTTGGGAATGTAGATTGGGAAGAGGAAGAAACAGGATTGGGAAGAAAAAGGAATAAAATTGGGAAGAGGAAGGAATTGACTCAGAGTAATTAAAAACCAGGAGATTTTCCTCTGGAAGTGGTTTTTTTGGGATGGCATTTTGCTGAAATCTTGGAATGCTCAGGGAAACAAGGATGGATTTCCTGGATTTCCTTCCCAGGGCTGAGATGGTGGTGCCAGAATTCTTGGAATTGTTCAAGGAAAGAGCCACAGCTCCCTTCTTCGTCTTCCAGGTAAAGTGTGGAGACAGAAAGGGGGGAAAATTCCCTATTCCTGCTAAAAAACCAGGAGGATATATGGATTGAAAGCCAGGAATGAGCTGGGAAGATTCCAGGAATCAGGAATATCTACTGGATTAGACCTTGATATTGATTTATTCCTGGGAGTGACCCTTTTGTCCTGGGGTTTTTCCAGCTTTCTGGAATTCTTTAAATTCACTTAACCAAGATGATTCCTTAAAATTCCCATTTCAGTCCCTAGAAATTCCTGGAATTTAAGGAATCCTGGCATGGATTGGGACAAACAATTCCTGACCCTTCAGGTGTTTCTGGGAGGGAGATTTCCTGCCTTTCCAGCTTCCCAGAGTGAAACATTGAAATTATCCTGAACAAACAACAATAATTCCTAGAACTTAAGGAATTCTGGGCTGGATTGGGATCATTCCTGTCCCCACAGATGATTCCCAAAATTTAAGGAATTCTGGGATGGGTTTGGGACAAACAGTTCCTGACCCCTCGGGTGTTTCTGGGAAGGAGATTTCCTGCTTTTCCAATTTCCCTCATGAAATACCGAAATTATCCTGGATAAGCAAAGATAAATCCTGGATTTTAAGGAATTCTGGGCTGGATTGGGATCACTCCTGTCCCTCCAGGTGTTCTGCGTGGGGCTGTGGGGTGGGGATCACTCCTGACCCCCCGGGTGTCTGTGGGAGGGAGATTCCCTGCCTTTCCGGTTTCCCCCAGTGAAATGCTGGAATTATCCCGAATAAGCCGAGCTGAATCCCAGATTTTCAGGAATTCTGGGCTGTTCCAGGTGTTCTGCGTGGGGCTGTGGGGTGGGGACAGTTCCTGACCCCCCGGGTGTCTGTGGGAGGGAGATTCCCTGCCTTTCCCCCAGTGAAACCCTGGAGTGGTCCCGACTGAGCCGAGCTGCCCGGCGGTTCTCCCGGGTTTTCCAGGTGTTCTGCGTGGGGCTGTGGGGTGGGGACAGTTCCAGGTGTCTGTGGGAGGGAGATTCCCTGCCTTTCTGGTTTCCCCCAGTGAAATGCTGGAATTATCCCGACTGAGCCGAGCTGAATCCCAGATTTTCAGGAATTCTGGGCTGTTCCAGGTGTTCTGCGTGGGGCTGTGGTGCCTGGACGAGTACTGGTACTACAGTGTCTTCACCCTGTCCATGCTCGTGGCCTTCGAGGCCTCGCTGGTGCAGCAGCAGATGCGGAACATGTCGGAGATCCGCAAGATGGGCAACAAGCCCTACATGATCCAGGTGAGTCCGGGAGTCCGGGGGGGATTTCCCTCCTTTCCCGTGTTTTTGTGGCTAAACCATCCCTTTTTTGGGGGCTTGCAGGTGTACAGGAACCGCAAGTGGCGCCCGATCTCCAGCGACGAGATCATCCCGGGGGACATCCTGTCCATCGGTATCCGGGGCTCGTTCCCGGGGATCCGGCGCGTTCCCGGCGTTCCCGGGGGCTGGGTGGGGTTGGATCGGGGTAAAACATCCCACGGGTGCCTCTGGGGGATTTTAATTCCCGTTTCCAGGGTGGGATCTCTGGGAGTCTTGGTTTAAATTCCCTTTTCCGAGGAGCCAGGAGGGAAATCCTTGGGCTGGAATCTCTTAATTCCCGTTTCCAAAGGATTTTTAATTGGTTTTAATTAATTTTTCAACTGATTTTTAAGTTGATTTTTCAGTTGATTTTAATTGATTTTCAATTGACTTTAATTGATTTTCAGTTGATTTTTCATTGATTTTAATTCATTTTTAATTGATTTTTCATTGTTTTTGCTCTTGAATTAATTTTTAATTGATTTGATTTTCAATTTATTTTTCATTGATTTTAATTGATTTTTAATTGGCTTTAATTGATATTAATTTATTTTAATTGCTTTTGAATTGCTTTTTAATTGCTTTTGAATTGATTTTTCCTTGATTTTTGTTG